CTGTCTGCAAAGGCTGAAGCAATAACATGACAGTTTGACACACTTGCTCTCCAGAGGTCTGCTCAATCTGCTCAAGTAAACCCAAAAAAAGTTCCTTTGGATTGCAGAGCTGGAAGAGAGGAACAATGCATATTTTTAAATAACAATGGTCATAATAAAAAAATAAATCACATGCAATACAGAAGTTCCTGAATGTCAAGAGAGAAGATCTGAACATCCAGGATAAGATTTAAGAAAACAAATATGAAACAGTAAGTACATGCCTACAATTAACATCTACTGTAGAGCATACCTGTTGAACACTTTCATATGAGCTGAAAACATATAATAGTAAAAACTGACACTAAACCTGATTTTAATGGGCTGTAAAAACCTCACAGTACCTTTGCAAAGTAATCCTTTGGAGCAGAGAGAGAAGTAGAATTTGAGTGTGAATTTAACTCAAGCTATAAAGTTTGCAAGTTGCTTTTGGAGTGCATAAATGAAAGAAAATGAGTCTTTTACAGGTTAAAATACTCCATCAGAATCATCAGGTAATGTTTCTCCTATTGAGGAAGGGTGAATGATTTAAGGAAAAGACTTTTCCAAGTGAATCATAGAATAGAGAACAATAAATACTATTCAGACAGAGATAAGTGGAAAATGGCAAGGTCCTGCAGAATGGTTTTGAAACAACTAAAGAGAGAACATGAAGGGAGAAACCTTGAATTAGATACTAGAAAACACATTTAGCAACATACTGTAAGTTTTACTCAAGCTAGCTAACTCAGGTAAGATTGTGTCCTTCAGATCAACTTAGCTCATTTTCATGTGAAAACCACACCTCTGATGCTGAGCCTGCCACTTCCAAACAAAGAGTCTTACCCACTGAACATGCACCATGAATTCAGAATTCTCTGTACCTTCAAACTGAGGTGAGGGAATGTTAAACTAAGAGCAGCTTACCCAAGTAGTGATGTAGATTCATTATGCAAATATTGTCAGAATCAAATTGTATAAACATGTTTGTGTATCCAGCCTTTGATGTACTAGTTTCATGGATTAGTGATCAAGCACCCCTTTTTGTGCAGAACTTCCCTAACATTGTTGTCTCATAACCATGTATTTCAAAACCATACCTGTGCCAACTGATCTAGTATCCTCAGGCAGTGTTCTCGCTTATCATCTTCTTGTTTATACATAAAAATACATCTAACAAGAGGAGAAATGAGATTCCAACCCATATTCTTGATGATAACCTAAAAACCAGATATTCAGAGAATAAACCAAAACTAGATGTCTTTTAAACCCAGAAAGATTGTATACATAAAGACCAAAAGCAACAACAGATCAATGTCCTGGTTCTAACTATTACTGCCACTGTCATTGAATCTTTAGCAACTGTTACCATTATTTGACACACATTGTATCCTCTGCCCATACCTACAAACACAGCGGCGTATTTTGTATCATTTTCTGCTAATTATTGGCATGTCAATATATACTTCTAAATGTCCATGACAATACATTTAAAACAGGATTGAGCAGAGGAGTTGTGCTGAAAGAACACTTGGACAAATTATTCATGAGGGGATTGAGACTTTCAGTTGTTACTCCAAACTCACAAAATTCAAAACCAGATTGTGAACCCCATGTAACATTGCTAAAATATCCTACCTTTCACTTTCTGAACTTCCTATTTATCTCTGTTCAATTTGGTATATTGTTTCAGTATCTCCAATGCCCACAGACATTAGTATTTCAAATTAGCATCAGCCTAGTTGGCTCCTATAATTGGCCAATATTAGTATATCCATTTCTGGTAGGCTGACCCCCAACAGCAACTAAGCACCCCTCAGCTCCTTGCTTGCTCTTGTCCCTCAGAGGGATCAGGGCGAGAGTCAAAAGAGCAAAACAGAGGAACTCTGAAGATGAGATAAGGCCAATGTAATAAGTGAAAGAGAAAAGACAGCAGAGACTGATGGGGAATGCTGCAGATCAACTCCCACGAGGAGAGCAATGCCCAGCCAGCCTCCAAACAACAGCTGCTTTGGAATGGGTCCCCAGCACATGCCTTTACTGCTGAGCACAGTGTTGTGTGGTATGGAGTATCTCACTGCTTTGGGGCAGCTGTCCAGCTGGGCCTCCTCCCAAACTCCCTGCTTACTGGGGGCAGAGGGAGAAAGGGAGAAGGTCTTGATGCTGCACAAGCACTGATCAGCAGTAGCTGAAACACTGGTGTATTATCAGCACCTTTTTGGTCACCAATCTCAAACACAGCACTATGCAGGCTGCCATGAAGAAAGCCAACTGCATGCCAGCTGGACCCCAGTACACCGCCTGAAATCCCTGTCCTGTGGAAGTGGGACACTGTCTGTTTCTCCTCATTATGCTCTCCTGCTTCATTTTCTCTCTGCTTCACTCACAGAAGAGTTATTAATGGCTTTGTTAAGATTACCATGACTTGGGTTTCTGTGAGCTACCTGAATACAGAATTATATGCACTTAACACAGAGCAACTCATTAGCTATTCATATGTACAGCCTTGCTCCACAGAGAAAGTAGCTTTTCCCTCTTAATAAGCAGTTTTATATTTAATGATGTTAATAAACACTAATATGTAGTGCAAACTTAAACTCACCTTGTTTTTCTCATTTTGAATTACTTCTAATAACTGAGCTGCATATCCATCTTCCAAACACTTCTGACCTGCTACCTGAAACAGATTAAAATCTTCTCCTTTGAAATCAGCTTCTTCCAGAATTTGCTAGAAAGAAAATATGAATGTTTAACTCCATACTTATCAAAGTCAATTAAGAAGTAAGAAAATCCATGCTTTCATTTCAAAATTAAATGTACTATCATTGTAACTTTTATACATTTTCCACATATTAAAAAAGCTACCAAGTTACTCCAGAAGACAAGGCAGTATTTCAATACCACTAAGTCTAGACTACAGCATTCTCTTTGGAAGATGTGTTTTCTACAACTACCAGCTTTTGTACCTAGGTACAAGAACAATTCCATCTCCAAGAAGCAGAAATAACCAAGCATCTTGGGATAAGCACCACAGAGAAGTCAATGAAACATGGAGGCTGAACTCAGCTGCCTCATGAAGAGTTCTAACAACTGACTTGTCTTTTGAGGTCATTTTTGCTTTAATTCTAATATATGAAAAGAAATCACACTACTGACACTTGTTACTTCTAAGGAAAGAAAACTACTTACACATCTTTGTATTATGGCTTGAAGTTCATCAACTGCCATTACAGTTTGACTGTGTTCTTCTGGCATGAAAATTTATTTTAAATTAAAGAGGGCAGTATTATATCACACGAACTTAAAACAGAGGCTGAAAAATAATCACATTATCAAAAAAAATAGTTAATGGAGGAATAAGAACAATCTAGACAAATATTAAGACTACATAATTAGAATAAGGGGAAATTCATTTTTACAAAGTATATTATTCTACTCCTCATATTTGCAGGAGACAGAATTACAGACAGGAAACAACCTTTATTCTCTGTACAGGGAAACAATTTTTCAAGTACTATCTGGGTCATCTTAAGAAGTGTGAAGGTTTCAGTGACACATACATGGAAAACTGCAGCTCACACAGAGCAAGTGTGCACACCCATGACACACTACATTTTCTGTGACTATTCTGACCAGAGGAGCTTCTGCTCAGCCCTGACTGGAACACACTAACCCGATATATGTGAAAGCACTGATCCAAACACCATGCCAGTTTATAGCCACAGTCCAGTCAAGATTACACATGCAGTTTCATTTATTTTTTTTCTAGTGTCTAGGTTGGACTAGTTCAGTGGATTTTTACCTCTAGGTATTAAAATTTAAAACCTTCTTGCTAAAATCAACAAAGTTATACACTTCAGTAATGTCAAGTACATACCAAGTTTTACGTAGCCAGGACCATGAATTACAAATACAATCAAGCCTGGTTATCCTATGTGATCTATCATAGCAGCATTCATAATCTTTATGGTTTTAAGTAATGCCATGGGCCTAAACCTGGTTATATGATCACTGTGACTGTCAATTGCCCCTACACCTGGTTAACTAGATAACTATTCATCAAAACACAGGCGTCTCCATGCAATGTCCTCAGCCTTTCTTCTTATGTTTGACCGAATGTGGTGGGCTGACACTGGCCAAACACCAGCTCACCTACATGAGACAATACACAGATAAAGAACCTATCTAGATGCTCACAAAGGGGGACAACTCACAAAAGCTTAAAAGGCATCTGTGTGTGACTTTCTTATTCAAAGAATAAACAACTCACTTTCTATTTTTCACAGCCCATTTTGACATCTGTATGTCACTGAAACCTATCCTTTCCAGCCTGTCATTTTAACCAGATCATTACCACATACTTTCTTATCACACGTTGTACTATTTAAGCTTTTCATTTTACAGAATGTTACTAATCCCACCAAAATAATTTAACATACTTTCGAACGCCAGTACTGCTGCATTTTCGGCCCTCAGTAACTTCACAATGTACTTACAGCCTGGAAGCGCGCCCCAAGCACCCACCGTGTGGCAGGGATTTACTGGCTGAGCTCGCAGATGGTCTCCGGCCTTAATACTTAATCCGGTTTCCAGCTGAATCTTTTAGGAGGTTTCAGCGGCAAGTGGACAGCATCTGAATCATGTGAAACGTTCTATTAATACTCACCAAACTTCCTCCTAATAAACAGATACCCCGGCCCCTTCTCTGGGCGATACAACACCCAGGCTGGGACGAAAAGGCTGCCAGCCTCAGCCTGTAAACACACGGCTGAATGAAAAGCCACAAGGGCACCGCACCGCCTCAGCTCACCTCAGCCCCAGGAACCCTTCAGAGGAACCTTTCAGCTCCGCACTGCCGCCTCTCCCAGCACCAAGAGCGGCACCGCCTCGCCTCAGTCCCTGCCAGAGGAACCCCTCAGCTCCGCGCTGCCGCCTCTCCCGGCTCCGCCCCGGGTGAGAGGTCGGCGGGCGGAGCGGCGCTGATGGCGATGATGGCGGCCGGGACGGGCAAGCCCCGCCGGCGGCGCGCAGGTGGGCGCCGGGATCGCGCGGCAGCCCCCGCTCCCCCCGCCTGGCCCTTTGGGCTCTCCCTGTGCCCCCAGACCAGCACAGCGGCGGACTCGCCCAAGCCGCCATGCCGAGGGGAGCGGCGGGCCGGCCGTGCTCGGCTCTGTGGGCCTGTGCCGGGCCGGGTACGGGGCCGTGGTGAGGGACGGGCCGGACGAGGCGAGACCGGGACTCTTCGTCCCCTCAGGCCGTGAAGGGCCGGCCCGCCCCGGCCCGCTCTGAGCGGCAGGGCCAGGCTGTGACGGCGGTCGTGCAGCTGTGCGGTCCGAGCGCTGAGTCCTGCCTAGAGCGCTGCGTCCTTCCCAGGGTAACAGCGCCGTATCTCCCCTGCTGTTGCCCTTGTCGTGGGGGAGCGGCTGCCCGGGACACCCGCGTCGGGAGCTGGGTCAGGGCGCCGTCCGGGGCGGCTCCGAGAGCGGCAATAGCGGCTCCGTGTCAGGTGCCGGCGTTGGAGCCGGCCCGGAGCAAAGCCCTGCGGTGGGGCAGCTGTGGGGACGGCCGGGGTAAAACTGGGCTTTACCAGCTGGGTAAAGAGACACGGGGGGTGTGGCGGGCACAAAATTGTTGTCAGAATTTTTTCCCTTTTTTTTGTATAGAAAACATGGTGAATGAGAGTATGATACGAGTTGGGCCTGTCTGTTTTCGCACTTTAAAAAGTGTATCTAACTGGTTGTTGCATACCAGCTTACTGAAATCACAGCCATCAAAAGCAATAATAATTACTAAGAAACTATATTGGTTGTGCTTACAGTTTAGAGGCTTTAATATTTTTCAGGTTCCAACATCTTCCACTGTTAAGAAAGTACGCTAACTTGTATATTTGATTTCTAGGAAATAAGCATTCATCTGCTCAGAAAAATGAAGATGCTGCCCAAAGGTATAATTTCTGAGAAACAGTATGTGGTGTTTGTATTCTTTTGCCTCACTTTGAAATTGCAGTCTCTGTGCTGCAGAGGCTTTGTTTTTTCAGAGTACCACAATTAACTTCAGTAAATCACCAGCATCAACATCACGTAGGACACGTTTGGAGTGGTGCTGCGTAACTTCTAACAGCATGCGCATCTGAGCATTGTGTCATATACTAAAAGTTTGTAATCTAACATCCAAAATTGTATTTCTTTAGTCTGCAGTGCTTGCTTTTTGCTGTCTTAACTTCTTTACATACTTGCTATTTATAATTATTTACATCAAAAAACACTCAGGAGGAGGCATTCGTTCATTTTTTTTCCTACCTTTACTTTGTAACCTCACAGTCATGTCCTAGTTCTTTTTTTCTTCCTATTCTTTATGTCATACCCAGTTCCTGTTTTCCTGACAACACTCCATAAATTGTCCCAGGTTCTTTGTCCAGCCGGTTCTGGATTTCCCTCTTGCAAGAAAGTTTGGGGAGTGTATTGCAATATAGTAAGAGTCAGTACTTTTCTTGGCCAGCAAATAAAGCAAACCAATATAAAATATGTAACCCTTTGTAGTTGTAGCAGAATTACTAGTCCAGTTACTTGTTGCCTGTTTGGCCAACATGGTGTGATACAGAAAAATATAAGCTGTATTTCAGAAAAAAAGATAAAAATACGATTAGAAAATTGTTTATGGAAATCTGCCTTCTGTATCATTCAGTGTCTGTTCTGTTACAGGAAAGCAGCTCTGGAGGCTGCACTGAGACACAAGATTGAATGTGAGAAAAAAGCATTGTCTATTGTTGAGCAGCTCCTGGAAGAGGACATTACTGAAGAGTTCCTTCTAAATTGTGTAGGTGTTGCAAGTTTTTATACTGTTTTGTATCTTGGTGTGATACTCTTAAAAAAAGTTTTTGGAACAATTTGCTGCAGTTTAAAATAGCCAAACCATTGATTCCAAATAGCCAAACCATTGATTTTACCAGCTCTGGTAACAGTTTCCATATTTTTAAGGGTTCTGCAGTGAAAACATGCAGGACTGTGTACATTAATGAATCCTCACTCTTTTCTCACAGCCTTTCTTTATACCTCTGTGGTTCTGGACTGATAGATGAACTTGAAAAATTTAGGTTCACATCATACCATCAGTAAATTGACACAAAGTCTCTATAAAGCACCACAGTTATCTGGCAGCAGAGTTTTGCTGGAATGGTATAATGATTATTCTTGTTAAGGTTGTAAATAGGCTGATTAATAGGGGTACAAAACATGTAAATAGAGGAAAATTACAGAAATAAGTGCCACTCTAGAGGCAAAACTCTGCAGGTTTTTTGTATATGTAAAAAAGAAATGCCCAGGTCTGTTTTCCTTCTCTCTTTGCCCTTTTACCTTTTCTACTGTGTAGGTTCTCAATGTTGTTTATTAAATTTAATGGATAACTGTTACAAAATTTTAGATATTTATATGCTTAAGAGATGTTTTGAGTACAAAACTGGCAAGTTTTCCAGTGTCTATGGTTGAACTATTTTCTTGTCATTTTAGGGAAAATGTATTACTCCATCTCACTATAAAGACATTGTTGATGAGAGGTCTATCATCAAACTGTGTGGTTATCCTCTATGTCACAATAAGCTGGAAAATGTAAGTTGCTTTTCCTTAATGCTGTTATCAAAGGAATCTTTTCACAATTTTTATTCTCTTGCATTTTCTTTTTAATTTTAAACTTAGACTATTAAGCACAGATTACTGTCAAGTAAGGAGCCAGGCATTAAATAATTCCATTTCAGTATAATCCTTCTGAAGTGAAAGGTGAAATTTGATGAGTAGACAGCAGTTCTTGTATGACAGAATCAGTTACTGTATGATCAGAATCACAATGTGTGGGTCTGTTCTGACAGGGATAAAAATGAATGAGTCGTGGCTTCGTGGCCTTCCTTTGTGAATGGAAAAACTTGGAAATCTTGTTCTTCTGTCAGTGTAGCAACAGATGTCTATGAGAAAGATTGAAATGAAAAAACAATACAATGCAGGGATATTATTATGTAAATGTATATATATCTGCTATGAAAATGTATGTCAACTGTGCTAATATGAAAGTCACCCCTCTTTGGGTGTGATGTGTGAGAGCTTAAGCAGAACTCAGAGGTCAGTTAGATAACCTGTGATGTAATACCAGTGCTACATGTGCTTATCTGAAAACATTCAACTCATGTGCAAAACAATTTACTGTTTTGGACTTCATCTATTTGCTTAGATGTTAATTTCAAAACTGTTACAGTTTGCATAAGTTCCTCTGGGTTTGTCTGGGTGGTTGTGGGGGTCCGACAGTTCAGTCTCACATGCATATAAATAGATCTGGATTAAGGAAGGACCTGTTGCTGACCTAATTGCTCAGCCCTTACACATGAGGAAAGCTTCTGCCATGGCAGCTCCCTTGTTTTATGTTCAGCACTGGTTTTCTTATAGCTGTGGAGCTGCCTTTTACTGATTAATGAGATGTATATGATTAAAGTGCCGTTCTTACATCTGAGAAGGTGCAACATCAGAAGAATTGAGATAAAAGGTGGTTGTAGTATGCAGTTCAGTTAAATAGAATATATTGCACATACCCAAATATGTGAATTAAGAACAATGTTTTCTCTGTACTCATGATGGAACTGACAGTCTTGCTGATGAAACTATATTATTTTAGGTGCCAAAGCAGAAGTACAGAATTTCAACAAAAACGAACAGAGTTTATGATATCACTGAAAGAAAGGTATGGTAATAAGTGTATTTCTAGAATGTGTTAATGGTGGCAACATCAGAAATGCATTTTGTAACAGCCTTCGTACAGTGGCTTGATTCAGAGGCAAATATGTTTGGTTCTTATGAAAATAATTTTCACAAACTGTTGAAATTTTTTGTGCATTTCACTTCCTAGATGATATCTTTGGTGAGACAAAATACATGGTTTTCTAAGTTTAAACATAAGATGGAAAGTTTTACTTGGATAGGTGTTTGAATGTGGCACAGCTGATCTGTTAAAGGCATTTGTGAAGAAGTGTTTTTTATTTTGCTCCAGCATAGTCAGTGAGCTTTAGCAGGGTCAAAGTGCAAATCCTTTTCAATCACTGAAGTTTGCAGTAGTGTAGTACAAGTTACATCTTACATATCCCTTAGTGTTCTTTTTTGGGGAACATTTGGGTTTCTTTTTTGAGGACTTTTCAACATAAAACCTAACTCTTGACAAAATGTTTCTTTCTGGAAGCATATTCACACATAGTTGCATAAAAGTCATCTTTGCCATTTCACGGGATACACAGTCACCTACAGGCACATAGACACTAAATTGTAACATAAATGTTTCCAGTTACAGAACACATTTCTTCAGTGTCACTAGTATGCATTCCTTTCCTCTGATTAAAACTCTGGGGTACACAAAATTTTAGGAATTGCTTTCATAAGCAATCGGGCAAGACTCCAACAAGAAGTTCGATGTTTTGTGTTCTTCCCTTGTGATGCAAGTTCGCAAATCTGTTTTTCAAAGATGCTGCAGATTTTTAGGTGTTCTAAGTATTGCAAAATAGCAGGTTCTGTTCCTAACAAAAATTTTCATTATTAGACATTTGAATTTGATTGTATGTTTTTCAAACTGTATGAACAGCATATTGGGTTATGGGTTCCTCTTTGAAGAGTTTGGTTTGTTGGGGCTTTTTAAAATTATTGTTATATAGGATCCAACACTGGTTTGCTTCTCACTGTGTAATAAAACTGCAGAAAGCAGAAAAATGGGGAAGAAGGAAGTAGCTAACTGTGGCTTGTGTGGAATGGGATAGACCTATTTGATTCGTTGGATTTCTCAGGTGAACTGAAAACCTGGCCATAGGCTCGAAAAGAAACATGTATTGGTACTTAATTTTACAGGCATTAAAAGAAATTACTGTTGCACCTTTCTATGTATTCCAGTTGGCCTTAGTGGTGTTTTCTTGCTTTCTCTTGTTGCCAGTGCTTTTGCAGCAACTTTTGCTATAGAGCATCTAAATATTTTGAAGCTCAAATTTCCAAAAGTCCAGTGTGGATGAGAGAAGAAGAAAAGTAAGTATAATCTTACACATTCATTGCACCTTTTGAGAATATTGTTTCTCTGTGCATCTGCAGTGGTAATTAAGGGCTGCAGCACATCAAAATGATTTGGCTGAAGCAGAGGTAGCTGATGTTAACATGTTAGTTTAGCATGGTGTTTGCTTTAGAAGTGTTGTAGCTGTATGGATTACAGAAATTGGCATGGTTCAGTACTACTCTCATCTGCTTAGCAGACGTGACCATGTTAGGTTAGAGGGCTGACTAGTCAGAAATAATAGTTAACTCCTATTTAAAATGGACTGACTGGGATTGAATTTTTACAAACAGGTTGAAATAATCTTACTCTGTTACAAGAGATTTTCTAATTTTAGCACAGCACTTGGCATTGATCTTAAGCTTAGACAGTGAATGCTTGCACCTGAAGCAGTCTATAACATGAAGAGATTTTTTATCCAGTCTAAAGTTCTGATTGCCCATGTCTCGTTCTTCCTGCAATACACATTTTGGAACAGTGTATGCAGTCCACGTTCCCATCTTAGGAAACACAGGCTTGCAAATAATCAGTGGAGCCAATGGGTGTCACTGTTGAACAACAAAGACTGGCATAGAGACTGTTCAGTAAATTTACTCAGCTTTCATTCTCCAAGATGCTACTTCTCATAGTCCCTGGCTTTCAACAAAAGAAACCAGCTGGAGTTATATGTGTTATATGAAATATATGATCAATGAGAGAAGAGCTTTAGAGCAGCCTCATCAGATCTGAGGTGTTCTAGTAGGTAAAACTAGACTCTTTGTTAAATGTTAAAGTTTACCAGTGCTTTTTAGGTAATGTTTTGCTGTTGTCACGAAAAGTGTTTCTAAAATCTCCCTTTATTCTTCACATCAAAAAAGTACAGTTCTTTTATGCCTGACATAGTTAATTATTCTGGGTTGGTGGTGGGGAGGCGGTATTTGCAAAAAACAAACCAGCAAACTCCCAGATAGTTCTTGGCTAGCTACGGCTCTTTGCACAACCACATACATGTGTACACACTGATATGGTAGAATAGTTGAAATTCCTTTGACAGAAAAGACTACAACCTCCACTTAAAACTCCAAAGAAGAATTATATGGAGATAATAATTTAAATCACTCTATGTTATCATCTTTAGTTTCCAAATTCACTTTATTGATATGAGTGGTGCAGCTTTCCTGCAGGGTCTTTTATATACTGAAAGGTGTTAGTACACTGACTTGCATTTAGTGTCTGTTTAAAAGGTTTTCTTTCAGTCATAGGATACATTAGATTTTTAACATTTGGTATTGGATAAGAGGAATAGGACTGTTATGCTGCCTCATAACTGAAGTAGATTAATTGCAAGTAGGGCTTTGGAAAGAAACTCGTCAGAATTTATTTAGTAATATTTTTAGTTTCTAGAAACCTTTGAAAACTGTTTTCTTTTAAAAATATATAACTTGACAGCCTAATTTTTAACAAAGTAAAATTTAAAATAAGTAAAAATATAATGAATATTCATATTTTTACATTAATTGGAACATTTTCCTATAAATAGCCCAGAATTGTCTTTACTATAGGAACCTTATGATCTGTGAGGATCTTGGCATGTTCTCTTGTTTGAAGAAGAGACCAAAGGGTGATCTGCTTTGAACAGAGGGTGTTGGACTAGAAGATCCTCAGATACGCCTTCCAAACTCAACTGTTTTTGTATTCGTGTGTATTTCAAGAGAATAGATTCAGCAGGAAAATGTTCATTCTGTTTTCTTTTTCCAGACCACCTGACATAGAGCTGCTGAAGGAGGGACAGAGGTACACTGAACAATTTTTTTGTTGTTAGCTGCACTTATAGCTTGAAATTTAGCATCATAGCAGATGCAAAGGGAATCTTTGATTTGTTGTGTTATAAAAAAGACCTTACTAGAACCTATGCAAAGGTTTTTTTCCTTTGTGATTCTAACCCAGCATATTTGATCTGTATGATTTAGTGTACAGCTGCTCTTGGATTGTGTGTCTTAATTGAGCCTGTTGAAATCTGAAACAAATACACTGTTTGTACTTTGAATATTTCATGCCATCTATTCTTTATAAAGAAAATTGTGCCAATTATATGTGATGAAAGCTTCTGTACTTCTTAATCTAAAAGGTCTATATGAGGCAAAATGAAATCACGCTACTCTGTCATCTCGCTGTGCCTCGCTGTGCATTGACTTTCTGTTTGTTTTCTTTAGCAACGTGTTGCCATTAGGTGGCAAACTTATATATGCTGAAACAGCTCAGCTGTCCCCCTGATTTAAGGGTACTATATTCCCACATATGTTAACATGACTGTCTTCATTTTAAAATTGCACTATTCATGATGCTAAGTCTGACATTGTTCTGTCTTTAATACTGTCTTGTTTATACTGTTATTTTCTAACTACCAATAATCAGCTGAGAACTCACTTCTCTAAATAGTCTCTATGCTTGTCATTTTGATCGTAGAATAGTACAACTCTTAGAGTTCAAGAAGGCTTTTAGAAGAGCATATGATTCTTAAAGCAAAAAGTTACACTTCTGCTATAAGGGGGGAAATGCTTTGTTTATCATTCTTTCATGAGAATAGAAGCTATTGCAGATAAAAGCCATTTCTTATTTCACTGATGATTTGTGTTTTCTTTTGTAGTGGACAGTCTGGAGAAGAGGTGAAACTACGTGATGAAGTAATTAAAGCATCTGACATTGAAAATCCTAGGATATCTTCAGATCCATGTGAATCTCATTCTCATGACACAGCCAGTGACAGCAGTACTGATACTGAACAAGAATTTATTTCCTCTGTCCTACCAGGAAGTCAGTCAAGTTCAGCCAATTTTGCACAGCAATTGCCCAGAAAAAGCATCCTCAAAAAGAAGCCTGCTCAGAAAGTCCATGCCAGCCCTAAAACTGAAGATGCAGATGTGGTAGAAGTCACAGAACAACTCTCTCATTGTAAATTAGACACTCAGGAAGAAAGACACACTTGCTCTGTTCATAATGAAGTAACTGCACCACCTTCAGACAATACTGCTCCTGGAAAATCGAGTGCTTCAGAAATCTTTGAAAATACGTATGGATCACAGATAGTTTTTCTAGGTGTGAGCAAAAGAGGAGCAGAACATCTTAAAAGAACATTAGCTAAGTCAATAGAACATAAAAACCCTGAACTGAGGCATCCAGTTAATTCCAAAGGCAGTTTACTAGAAGTACTTAGGCAAACACTTATGGAGTGGAGAACTGAGGAAACTTTAAAATTTCTCTATGGCCCAAACTATACTTCTTTGTGCTCATCAGAGTGCATAGCATCTGTCAGCCAGGAGACTGAAGAACTTGATGAGGATGACTTAGATACACCTGATGATCTCAGCACTGTTGCTGTAGGGGAGCCTGAAAACAGTTTGAACTACTCTTTACCTTTCACAGGCTCAAGTGGAATAGTTAAGCCTGTGCCTAGTTATGAAAAGTTAAAAGAAGAAACAGAGCTCCTAGAACTCCGAGTAAAAGAGTTCTACAAAGGAAGGTGCGTCTTGGCTGAGGAGGCAGCGACACAAGCGCAGGAAGGGGAACATCCCAGCAAAGACAGCGTAAGTGTCTGCTGTAACAATGTGGAGGCTGGATGAAGCCTGAATAGACCTTCAAAGAATTAGTACTTTGTTTCTGTTGTTATAAGTGGATAAGTATCTCTCATGGAGAAAGAGAAAATTCCATTAGCTGCATACTGTATGTTCCATCAGATTATGCAAGTGTCTGCCCATTAAAAAGGAGTTTTGGGGTTTTTTTCAGAGATAAAAGTTATTTAATGTTTAAATATTTATTGATTATGACTTTTTTATGTACTGACTTCAGTTAAACACTAGGTTATAGCTGTTAAAGTTTCTTGTCTAATACAGGATGATCAACAGGAAGATCTCACCTTCCCACTTGTTGATTCCAATGCACAAATGCAGATTAGGAAGCGAATTGTCCTTGAAAAACTGAGAAAAGCGTAAGTACCCTTTACTTTGGTGAATGGCAGTCTGAAGTTGTACTTGTTCATCATTGTTTTAAATAACAAACACATCCAAGGATGGGCCTGGCTCTTTCTAGGTGGCCCTAGTCATAACTTAAGCCCATTATTGCCCTAAAGGACTTACTTGTTTCTGCAAGTCAGCTGTAGTCCAGTTGTAAGTGCCAGTTTGCACAGTCTGTAGGTACCAACTGCTTAAGTTTAGACTGAAAAACTTGAAATTGATTGAGAAGAGTTCAAATATTTGTCTTGTACATTAAGCATATTGTTACTTGTAAACAAATCCTTGTAATTGTTTAAGATAAGTCATACAAAGAGAGAGTTTCTAATGCGTGTTTGGATGGCTGGTATCAGTATGTCCCTAGCTACAACCACTAAAGGCCCTCACAATTGGATTTTAAAACTTTGCAAACATCAGACCTTCTTCACATACATAAAAGGGCTTTGGAGTCACACAAAAGAGATTAAGGCATTTCTGATGTAGCTGTTAGAATTATGAATCTGTCAAAGTTGGGAGAACCTTGAAAATATTCTCATTGTCAAGGCAGTGCAGATAAATGAGTGTTTGAAGGTCATGATTCTGTTTTAGGTAGGGGTATTTACTTTTCTGTCATTGTAGTTTGTGTTACCTGGCCAAACTAGGTTTTGCAGAAGCCTTTTTTTTAATTTAAAGCCTTACAACCACCCCCCCCCGCCATCCCTGCCAAAATAAAAGGAAAATCCTTTCTGTTTTTCTCTACCTGCATCATGGGTGGATAGGCCACAAACATGGAATCAAACCATCCCCCAAGTGTCTTGTCTGTAAATGTCGATTGTTTTAAATTTCCTGAGCTGATGCAGTTGTTCTGTTACAATCAAGAGATAATTTTCATTGTGATAAAGCAATGAATATGCCCAGCATCATAAGAACCCTGTGTTCAGTTTTTGTAAAATATGCAGTCTTCCAGAATACTGATGCAGTAAGTGTTATGTGCATATAAATGCAAATCACTGAATATTCAAATACAAAAGAATTGTAATTATTTAACAAGTAAATAGAGGGAAAAGTTTAATCCTAAAGGTAAAAAACAAAAGATGTTATTTCCATCATTTGGGAATCCTGACAACTAGTTAAAGAGTATGTGCAGTTTGTGTGGTCCATCCTTTTTATGCACGGATAAGTGAGGAGGAAACCTGTCTTTTTCTTTCTTTTGAAATTTTCTGGTAACTATCATCTAGATTTCATCTGCCAAGCTCACAGTGGACATTTCTGTTGCATCTGTGTGAGTCTGAGGTTAGCAGGTATATTATGTGTGAATACCCCATTTAGACATGCAGCTTCCTTTTGTATTGTTATTTTTGAACCAAGTAAATCTAAACCTTCAAAAAATGTATAAGGCCTGTAGTCCTAATCCTCATAATTGTAAAAATACTTTTTCAGAACTGAAAGGTGAAACTAGTAAGTATATGTATGTAGAATTATATTTAAATCTCCACATTCACACAGAACTAGAGATTTTTAAAAACAAGTGGTTGTGAAGATGTTGGCCCAACCAGTGCACAGAGAGAGCTGAAATGAAAACTATAGGCCTGATCTGCTGCACAGAAGTCAATCTCTTTTCCTTTTTGCTAACCTTGATAAGCTTTGGTGGAAATCCTACTTCAGAAGAAATGAGAAAGAGAGGAAAATGTATATTGACTGGTGTCTTTTGCCTTCTAGATTATCTGCAGTTTTGGGCCCTCTTCAGATTGCTTCAGGTGATGTTTACACAGAGCTAAAAAATCTTGTCAAAACCTTCCGGTGAGTATTGGTCTTTACTTAGAGATTTTTATAAATAGATGAATTAAACATGCAGTTGAATGATTTGTGATTTGGGCACAGAGAGGAGGGCCCTATTGCAGATCTCCCCTTCTCTTGCTGCGTGTTCATGTAGGTAATGTCACGTTCCCTGTGGACTAACAAGTCAGCCCTTTCCCTGCTCCTGACAGTGGCTAGGTCACCAGGAGTATTTGTAGATTTTTAAAAACTAGGCCAGTGGTCTCTGGAGGATGCTGGTGAGTCTTTTAAAGGTTCTGCTACCTCGTCACCTCCTATTAAGCGTGAGTTTCTGAGATCTGTCCCTTTCTTTTGCTCTAGCTCCTTGCAGCTGGGCTAAATGGCTTAAATCTGATTAATAATTTTTATGAGTAACTTCTAGAGTCAGTTGGATCTGTCTTTTCCTGATTTCAACGGGAAGAAGATCTAGTGGGCACTTTTCATCACCACAGGTCAGTCAGTAGGACTAAAGACAGTATTTGGAAACAGTGAGATAAAGGAGGGAAAACAGAATGGTAACTTCTCTGAACATTCTTAGGTTTTCTTTGGGAGATAACTCTCATAGCCTGGACCTAGACTGTGTCCTTCACCCCCAAGTATTGTCAGAAAAAGAGCAATAGCAGTTGCTAACTGCGTGTTCATTGTCACTCTTGAAATGTCCCTCGCACATCCTCAGCCTGTATGAGGTTTACATGTATATTTTCCAAAACTCATTCATGTAGCATTTGCCACAAGGAGTCTGGGCTTGGGTGAATAGAAACCCAGCTCTACCCAATTTCTTACGATTTACCCCGTGTCTGGAAGGACACCACTAAAACACAGATGTCTCTCCGCAAGATTTCTTACTGTGGAAGATTCTCTCTTCCTTTCTGGTAACTGTGCATCTCATCTGTGCATGATATCTTTTAAATAAAGACATTGATACTATTTGAATTTGTTTCTGTGATTGCAGTCTTTTAAGTTCTGACTCGCCTCTTCTTTTAACAACACCACTGAAACCAGTGAAAATGTTTTTGCATATAGTGTAGATAGCTAGATAGCTATTGTTTGAGTAAGATCTTTGTGTCTTAAAACAGTTTTATTGCTTTGCAGTTTAAATGCTTAATAGTCACTTTAGCTTGTGGATTGATAAAAGTAGAGAAACTACAATTGGTGTCTTTCAAACTACTTTTTAATGATTGATTATCTAAGAAGGCCTGGAGGTTCTCAAAAACAGAGCTTCTATTTTAAATTACTTATGCTATTCGGAGACAATGGGGCATGAATATAAAGTTTTCAGTGGTTTATAGCAAATGAGACTTGAAACCAAAATAGACTTCTAAAACACATATATGTGTATGTATGTATATGCACACACACTTGTGGGTTTACAGAATAGAAGCAAATCAAATTTATTTGGTCTTTAACCCAGTTCCTGGTTCATGCAACAGTAGGTCATCATAATTTAAAAGTCTCCTCTAATCTGTTTTGATCTCTTAGATAACACTTGGTGAGTTTATTTTTTGTATCATTTTTGTTAGGAAGTAAGTTGAAGGTGATGGTAGCAACTTCTGGGGGTTCTCTTACTGTGAAGATTCCAGATCAGCTGCTTAGAAATTCAGGATTCTGGGTGGGGGGTGGTTAAAGACATTTGTGAGCGCTATACAAGAATTTTAAAAGCCTTCATATAATATATATCTCAAAATAAATGGAGTTTTGTTGTCGCTGATAGCAAAATAATACAAAAATACAGGAAATAGGGAAGAATAAATAAATACCTTTGGGCCCTTTTTCTTTGTTGCATTACTGATTGTTGGTACACAAGAGCTAGCTCATGGATATTAAGATGAAGGCATAGACTTGAATCTCCGATTTGGTATGTAGGTTTAAGTTTATTTAATATTAGTAGTCTCTTAAGTTTTGGATTGAATGCTTTGGCAGGGAGACGTGGGATAAATTTTAAATGGTATTTGTAATTACAAGGTATAGAAATTCAAATGTTACTTTGTTAATGTGGTTCAAATGCTTAATGACAATGGAGGAGCACTGATAAATGCTGGTGCTCTTTCCTGCTTTTTGTACTGAAGATATTTCATGCTGAAGAGCGTGCCAAAAAGGGTAGTAGGTAAATCACATGGCTGTAGTAGAGCTTAGCTGAAGAAGGGTAAAATAGCATGTGGTGAACTAAGCAACAACGATTTTCAGCTCCATTGGTTTTTAAAGGAACACTTGCAGTTCAGCCTCCTTTGGGCAGCATTTATTCAATCACCACTGCTAAGAAACACACTAGAGAGATCTCAAGAGACATTTTAGAATGGTTAGAGCTCTTCCCAAACAAAGTCCCTCAGTGCCTGTAAGCTTTTGTTACGAAAACTGAGATGTCAAATAATTCTCCAGAGTGTGTAAGGGCACTTTGTTAAAAGATCCAGAGAAAATTAGCTTCTTATATATAAATGGAGGATAAATAATTTTGAATGTGTGGTTGGGTTTTTTTAAGGCATGATACTTCATTTTGAAAATAGGATTCCATCTGTATTTTATGGTTGCAAGTATTTTAATTCCCTTTATGGAGCTTATCGTTGACATTGAACTCTACCAATGAATCAGATGTGAGATGTGTTCAAGACTTCTTGTTACAACTTGATTTTATCATGTGTCCAAGACAGTCTTTTAGCTTTTAAGTATGTATCCTGAATATATGTTATTTGGTATATACACTTATTTATACCTATTTTACCTATTACTCTTGTTAAGTGGAATTTTAAGTTCTGAGTTTCAAGTCAATCAGTGGTACTTGGTCGTAGATGAAGTTCTGCGTGGAAGTAGGGGAGTATCAGGATGTTAATGATGTTTTCTCAAGTAATTAGACTTCTCTCAAAAGAAGCCTAAGGTTAAATGGTAACTTATTTTTGCTGGTTGTCATCAAACTAAATGATATTACAGTATGTAAATATGTTGCTGTTTTCCAGGAGGTAGAAAAGCTGCCTTTTATGGTTAAATTGGTCTATTTGAAACCTAAAGAAAGACAATATATGCTTCAGTATTTGCCTGTGCTGCCCTGGGTTAGTTAAAGTCACTCATCTTCATGCAAGTTTTGGAAAAAATACAGCTAGCTGAGATCCCCCAAAGTCACAGCTTTGCATCCTAATGCCATGAAGTCAGTTTGCAGATTTACAGAAGGACAGATCCTTGAACTGCAGCTATATATGCCCCTACCTGGGAATCTGGATGTAGGAAGCAGAGGCTACTGCATTTGCAAAGATGCTGGGTTTACTGTTCTTATTTGCTCTGGATTCCTACAATTTCCCTATTGGAGTTCCCTTGTTAGTCAGTTATGAGGAGGTCATTTGAGATGGAATTTTTATGCATCTTACTCTTTAGTCCTTTATCCTGGAAGTTTCTGCCCCTTGGATCCAGGTGCTCAGTCAGGCTCCCTCACAGTGTGAAAACCACGTGGTCCTGCTGGGTGGCCACAGCGTGTCCTGGTGGAGGGAACCACAAGACCCACAAACCAGCAACTGAGCAACCCACGCAGCTATTTGGGATCTTCCAGCTTTCCTAGCTTGTGTATTCTGCCCTACACAGGCCAAGAAAGTGGGCACATTCCATTTTGAGAAGTTGCATATTGTTTTCTTTCTCTAGGTAGGTGAGGAAGAATTTGGCCAAACTCTTTAACAGAAAAGATTTCACTGCAAAACTAAAATCACACACACAAAGTTTTGTACAGTTTCAACATTTCCACATTATATTTTTAGGACAGAAATCTAGTGACCTCTTTCATGGATTGTTCTGAAGTAACAGTTTTGGCTAGAGGCAAGACAAAGAATTAATGAACCATTTCTACAGAGGCCCTGCAGTTCCCTGTTTTCAGAAAGCTTTGCTCTTCAGAGGCCTTGGTGTTGACACAGAGCTTGTTTGAAAGTGACTGCCCTTCCACTGCTCCTTATTATTTAAGGCTTCACACCTGTAGGTTGCTTGCTTTACTCTGATCTCTCTGAAATGTTATTTTTTCCAGCTGCACAAGTGTTTTAGGACAGGTGCTGTACTGAGAGGTTACTCAGTTGCAGAAGCCTGACTGTTCATGCAGTGCAGTGACTGCAGTACATCAGCAGATCCATACTGCTGTGTCCTGCTGCTTATCTGTGTCTTTTGACTACCTCCTTCAGAAATAGCATATTGATGGCAATGACTAGTGTTCAGACCTTGCCAATCAATACTAACATTGAATAAGAGTTAATTGACACAAATAACTGCATCTCTCAGTTTGTGTACAAGAATGACACCTTCCTGTGCTCTAATCAATAATAACTCCTTGTAAAGCATTGAAATAAAGCTGCTTTCTCTATTTGACAGAGTTTCCCCAGGTGGCTTGGAGCTGTCTCTTTCATTATGTCTCATGATAACAGATTAACTGGAATGTTACATATGAATTGCCTGTCAAGATGATTCCATCAGGCATTTCTTGGTAGTGTTTATCACTGTCATCAGTGTTGAGTCAAGATGTTCAGCCTTTGTTTTGCCTCTTTTTCTGTAGCCAGAAAAATGTAACAGTTTACCAGGTATAAACTTTGTTGCCAGCTGAATCCATTAGCTATTTCAAATAATAATTGCTAAAATGAACCTTTTAATAACAAATACAAACAGTATTTGCCAGAACTCTTGGTTCTGGTGACAATTCCTTTGTATGTAGAGCAAGATGCTGTTTTCCCTTTCATAATTGAACAAAACTCAGATTGTTGAGACACTACTTGAGTAATCATTGCTTCAATATCGTATTTTGGTTTGAAGACTTGAAGAATTGAGGATAAAAGTGGGATAATATTGCTTTGCTCATTACAAATTTATTTTATTAATTTTTAGTATCTTTCTGAAATAGAGAAATGCAGACCCATACTATAAATGATCTTACTGATAACTACATTTTAATGACCATTTTTAATATAATTTTAGGGAATTACTTATTAGAATTTGAATTTTAACAATGACAGCTACAAATAGTTCTGCTTTCTCAAATTTTAGTCTTTTTTTTTTGTTTTTTTAGTTAACTATATACTTGCCCAAAGTAATTTTTTTAAGTAATCTTACTGAGGAAGAAAACTCTGGATTTGAATTTGTTGCCAGATAGGAGCTTGCTGGAAGTGAACCATCCTCACCAGTGCCTGTAGGAGTGGGTATGAGTGACAGGGTATCTTCATGCTGGATCTGAATTTGTACAAGGTCGTGGAAGGGAAACTGAAAGCAAGAAGGGAGCAAACATAGGGAGGCACTTGCCCCTCAGCTGATCTGTTGTATGGTTCCATATTTCTGAAAACAAATAATTCTGCTGGCTCTTTTGAGTGCCACCCTAACCCACAGCTTCATTTTTGACTGTGACTTTTCCATGAAATTGCTTGTTTTGAATACCAAGGGTCATGCCTAAATTGAGACAGCAATTCACAGATGAATTGTTTTAACACAGATTAGTACTTGATTTAAAGCAGATCCAGTTTTTTAGGCAGTTCAGCCAAAGGAGTCGGCTGGTATCCAGTGCAGCAGCACTTTACTTGAACACCTATGTGGTTCTTTATTCACACTTCATTTATATTTATATGGCTCTTATATTTGGTCTGGCTCCCATTGCATAAGTTAGAATTCTGGATTTCCATTTTAAAAACAAGACTCAGCAGAGAATTGTCACTGCCACCTTATAAAATTCAGTCTGTGTCCACATCAGCTTTTACAGCAAATCTGGATCTGAAGCCAACAGGAGGGAAACTAAGTGTAAGAAGGTCCATCTTTTCAGAAACTCTTGTCAGTTCTGGAGAATTTCCCAGGGGTTTGAGTGAGAGCTGGGCCCTCACAGCAGCCAGGACTGTTTGTGAGCAATTTAAAAGAAACAGCTTCTGTTCAGTCTTCCCATCCCACTTTCATATTAAAAAAGGGGACATTGACAATTCTGCAATTCCTCCATTAGAGGATGACAGAAGCTTAAGGGCTGGTGAATTGCTCAGATACAGCTGTAATTGCTTCTTTATAACCCAGTGTATGCATGGTAGACTTAAAATTCAGTTGTTAAAATCTGCTTACTTTTATTTTTAAATGTACTGACTTTTTAAAAATTATTTTTCAGGTTAACAAACAGAAATATTATTCACAAAATGCCTGAATGGACTCTCATTGCTATTGTTTTGTTATCTGTGTAAGTACCCTTAAATGTCAAATGTTCTTATATGCAACTGTCTTATTAGCCTATTGGAACAAGATATAATTTTCAGGTAAAAGAAAAGAAAGATTTCATGGAACTAAATGTAGAATCAACAGAAATATTTCTTTCATAAAAATGAACAAAATTTTCTTGACAAAACAGAAATCTCACCGTTGCATCAAATGTTATCAATAGACAAATTTATGTTAAGAAAAAAGAAGAGCTAAGCTTTAGGGCGTTTTGAAGAGGCCCTGCAGGATGAAGTAGGAGTATAATTCATCCTCTTCCACTTGCTGCTGACATATATTCTTCTGCTCTCTGACATTAGGACAAAATGACATGTATATTGTATTATTTGGATTTGGCATAACTGTCAGGCTTTTCATTTCTCGTTTTGCTTCTAATTTCTTAAAAGGTTTCACTTTTATAATTAAACTCAAATTATTTCTATAAAGATATATGTGCTTCTGAATAGGTATAAGTATTCTAGCACACTTCTTTTAGAAGGGAAATCTCTTTTATCAGGAGAATTCCTCCCAAGGAATACTAGAACCCAGTATTTTATTTTTATGAGGATTAGCTTTGTTGGTTAAGTACCACAGTGCCTACAGTCCTCCTTAGCTTCGTTTTACTTACTGTAGAATTAAATTCTTTACAATGATTTCCCTAATGGGAAGCCTGATTGTATTACAGTGTCTTTCAGTAAACTCCTACACAGAAGCATGATCTGTAAAAGCCCTACTCATATGCATCAAGTGAGTTCCTTAGTTTGTATTTTGCAAATTCATGTACTTTTCTGAAGTTAAAGACACAAACTTTGCAGTGTGTTAAACACACACAAATTTGTATTAAAAGGTGAACTAATGTTAAATGTTTAAGAAATCACTGGTGGTTTCACAGTGTCAGGCTCTGCCTTCCATTAGGGTTAAACCATCAACCAATCTTTGTATGTCTTGAGCTTGAATTACGAGATTGCACAAATCTTTATTTCCGAGTCTGTTCATGACTGCGCCGCTGCTGCTGCTTCTTTTGGGCTTCCTGGGTCACTGGAGCCTGTAGGACAGAGAGGTACTTAGAGCCATTCACAGGTCAGGAAGTATTGTGGGCCAGCCTCGTGGCATGCCCAGCCCTGCACTTACTTTCCTTGATCTTACTTCAGTCTGACACATTGTTCTGGCTGTGCTGTCCCAAGGAAGATGGTACCAGCAGGCATTAGAGCAGGCTTCAGCGAGCCTTACATCTGTGTCACCCAGCCAGATACCGCTCAAATGATTCATTAAATCAGAACACAGAAAGTAACTTTACTTGAATGCCTTGGCATAAATTTTTTATCAACTATAAGAACAAATCTTTTGTCATTTTTACTATATATTCTTATGGTTGAATTGGTAATTTGTGAAACAGATCTTATGAATTTTTCAAGTAGTTTCTGTACAGCTAAGGAAATGGTGTCTCTTTTTGATCAGAAGTTAAAATATGTAGCTGGTCTCTGCATATGATGAGCTGTAAATGTTTACATAAGTAATGATTGTTTTACAGCTGCTTTAAAATGTTATGCAAGTAGTAGGCAGTCCTGGTGGGAGTCAGTATAAGCAGAGAACCAAGTCGCTTTTTACTTCTGCTTACTAAAGTTCCATCCCTAAAGAAATTAATTACATTTGATCACTAAAAAGAGTGAATTTTATTTATAATATTAGTGAAATCATAAATAAAACCGCTGCTGATTTCTGCTTATTGTAAGGTTTTTGCAAGCTCATGACCTTGAGATTTTTAATAACTTCTCTCAGCTGCCTCTTAGGAGAGAATGTGGAAGAATGTAGCTGGGATAGAATGAGTGTTAAGATTCCTCTAATAAGATGATGCATCTTACGTTATTTCCAGAAAGATTAAAGCAGAACATTTAATTATTTGGAAATTCTAATCAAGCTTGAGAATTTAGTGGAAGCCAGGACTGTGCAGGGAAAGGCTACTGAGGATGTGGACAGCCCCTCACAGGTTCTCTCACTCAGGCCCTTTCTCACTTCCTACAGTCTGCCAAGGAACCTGTCATATATTGCTAATAATTTTCATAAAAAGAATTGCACCCTATTTAAGTCTTCTCCCTTAGTTGTACTGAGACATTATGCACATTTAAGCACATCTACTGTTATTTAGATCATACTGTTGTGTGGGGCCTGAGTAAGAGGGGGGCTTTAGTAGCTTCAGCCATACTTTCACATTTATTCACAGGTCTTGACCTGGTTTCAGACATCGATATGACATATCAGTCATATTTCTGTTGATTCCACAACCATTTTACTGCTAACACTAACCAGTAAAGCTGCATAAGCAGCACCCTGGTAGGGGGTAATGCTTGTTCTTCCCAGGTGGGTGCCACACCATACTACAGCTATCCCAGGGTGCAGGGATTGCAAGAAGGCAGAGTGAGCATGAATTTCAAGGTATACCTCAAAAAAATCAGACTTCAAGTATTTTCTGTTTTGTATTAAAGGGGGCACGGTTGTTTTGTTTCAAGTAGCAACTGTTGGACTTCGCTTGCACCCTATTTTGTGCATCAGTGTTGTGGCTCACCACTTCCTTCTCAAACATACATGGCTAGTGTGTGCTGAGCACTTGCTGTTCTTAACTTCACAGAGCACTTTCAGAGTGCCCCAACCCTTTTTGTGGTAAGGTACTGGACAGAATAACTGTTAGCATTATGGCTGTATCAAATTCTAGTGTGTTATATGGTATGATCATGCTCTCCTCTCTTTGTTTGAGTGTGCATATTAACTCTTTGTAGGATACACCATGATGGATATCATTAATGCCTAATTTTGGTGCTTAAATTAGACCCTAGGCACACTTCTAGGTCTGCATGTCCTTGAAAAGCTGCTGAAAGTACTCATGTGCCCTTGAGTCTACTGATTCTACTGAAAGAAACCTGGGCTTCTCATTCATTGAAATAAAGTGCCTGGACAGTGTGACATGTCTCAAAGTATAAAATGTTGGCAATTTCAATAGTGGAGTATTTCATGTTCCTAGGGAACAGTTGTTTTTATTCAATCAAATTATTGTATAAAATATGAACACAGCCAGTCTCTGCCTTTATTGAAAATCTAGCCTGAGGCACTCCTATGAATATGGCACATTCAGCAATGCTGAATCGACCTTGTTAGAGTACACTTTGACAGCCAGAGCTTTATGTTCAAACAGTGGTATTCATGCCTGTCATGGAGTGGGTGACTCTTAAAAATTATCTGTACATCAAATTTTTTACTTATTTGTAATCTGTAGTAATTTTGGCATTGGTTGATTTTGGTTTCTTCCTGTTACATCGTTTAGTATGTTAAATAGAATTTTTTGTTCTCATAATAGCTGCTTTATAATTTATTGTAAGCTAGAATGCATCTTTTTCTGCCAAAGAACTTTGTAAGATACCAAATGAAGCAGATAAATAGATATAAATACAGTAGTTCAAGAAAGAATGGAGAAAGCAGTGGGAGGATTGGTTGCTATACAAGCATGGGCACTTTCTGTTTTTAGTGTATACCCCTGGCACAGACTAATGGAAAGCTTTCAAGATATTTTCAGGAAATGTCTGCTTTCATCTTACTTATCTGAGCTGGCTGGTTCCAGTGAACTGTGGTCAGCTTCATCTGCAAAGCCTATGCAAGAGGTTCCCCCGCTAAAAGCTTTGAAGCATTTCAAAATGGTCTGGGATTAGTTTATAAGCATTTGGCTGCAGTATTTAAACAAACTCAAAATGACCATGATCACTAAACAAAAGCAGTCATTATATGTGTGCAGCCACTTTAGATAAATGTGTCATGTGGAGATGTACTCTAGAGGTTTACTCTCTTGGAGATAACAGTTCAGGAACTGGAGAATCTTGGGTTCAAGTATGTGTTTTTACTCCTCTGCACACGAGAGCACATCTATTGCTCAGCACTGACATTTCTAAATAATTTTAAGATGAATTTAGATGTTTCTGATATCGCTACTCTATTCTTATCTAAAAGTGTGTGAATGTTTGAAATGTATGAATCTAATTTACAAATACATATAGGATATGAATCAGACTTGCAGAGTGATTCTTTTTCCTACAGAAACCACATACAAGTCAGCTGGATGATATTTTATATAGCATGATGGAAGTTTGGTTCCAGGTTTCAGCTGAGAAAAATCATTCATCATTAACCTAGAAATAGAATTGTTTTCCATTCTAAAACAGAGCTGAGTTTGCAGGACCAAGAATCCAAAGAGTTTTTATAAAAGCATTTGAATGTGGTTATAGTGTTGTGTTTATCTGTAGAGTTATATTATTGTGTGAAATAGAGAAGAAGCAGCTTTGTCTTAATGCATTAAAAAAAATCTTCTTCCCTTTTTCTCTTAATTTTAGGCTGTCATTTGATAAGTGTGAATTCAAATAGATTTTCTGTTAAGCAGATCTTAAATTTTTTAAGCAGTTTTTTCTATTAAGCTTGCTTAGTTACCAGCAATTTCTAAGCAAACTTGAAGTTGCTTTTTTAGCATATTGTGGACATGTTCAGTATTATCTTATTTCTTTCTGGCATGTTCCAGTATTATTTAGGAAACATACACATGAGGGATTTCAGTGTTGTTAATTGGGATATTATTCAGTGCCAACTTTAAAATTAATTAAATATCTTCCCCTTTCATAAGGGAGAAAATAGAAGAAACCCTAACAGTTTCCAAGAAGGTGTTTCTCCTGGAACAAAAAACCCCCACTGTTGCTGCAGTGATGTTCTGCAGGAAGTGACACTGAATTTCATCACAGCCCATACAGCTGCAGTGTTTTCCATGCTGGTATTCTCATGAGCAGCCTTCTAAATGGGACATTTGGATGTGCTGTAACTTTCATGTGTGCCCAGCACAATCTCTCTGAGTCCAGGATAATCAGTTCCTCTTTACAGTGCCGGAGCTTGGCTTCATCAGCAGGAGTGGAGCCTTGGCACCCGCTGTGTCCTGGACTCGCGCTGTGTGGAGTCAGG